TAGCTAACTAAGTGACAAGAAATATATAGCGTACGTCGAATCCAGTAATCATGCTGCACTTTAAAAGGAGAAAACACCACAGAAGCCAAGAATAACAGCGAGCACAAAAGAGAACATAAAAATTTGTGTTCTGTTTACCAAATACAAATTTATGTACAAAACTTTGAGCAATGGTTGCAATCATGGTATTCAGGTTCAAACCTCGCCCCACCTACTTTGACCCACACTGATTCTGTTGGAGAACAAGTAGAACTAAAAAATCGCCAAATCGAATTAGATGACGCGAGGTTCAAACCTTACATCCACTGCTTGACAATCGAGAGCTCTGATCACCATCATTAGGAAAACCAATGAAAACTAGAGACAAGTAACTTTTAGAGCTCTTTAAGGTAAATGACAATTAACTATGAAATTTTATAGAACACCGGAAAGCAAAACGGATACCATATGGCGCACCGGAAAACACACCACATCATTAAACAGTTTTGATATATTAGCGATAACAAATATAGTAATTCTTCATTGATTCACAAGGATTAGTTCGATAAATATGAGTATAAAGTAGTCAGCAAAACCACTCCCAAACCACTCAGAGCTCAATGTGCATGGTTTAGAACGTGCAACATCCCATAAGCATATCAGCTGACACGGTTTCAACATAACCTTGTCAACTCGGTTTGCCTATCATATAAAACTTCATGACTAACCGTAACAAAGCTTTCGGTGAATCAGTATAGGAACTTGTACTTTTTAATCATATGATCACCTTTTGCGATGTCATGAATATAAAAAACCTAACTATATATATATATAATTTTGGAAGTGATATTGTGTAGCTTTTTGTTTCAGATAGTAAATGAATAGGATTGTACTATAAACCCCATAATACATATTACTCAATACCTTAAGTCTAATCTTAGCATTGCTTACTCGGTTGTTCTACAATACCTTGTAGATATATATGACCAAAGGCCTGCACCCTATACATGTCTTCTATTCCTAAAGACTATGTTTCACACCCATAGGGTAATGCTTAATGAACTGCTGCTTGGCATACTCATTTGGTTGGGAGACAGATATATCACCTATGCCGCAAGTGACGAAATTTAGCAAAAGCCAACCGAGGTTTCTAGGTTCATATCGAGATTTTATCAGATAATAGCCTACCAGGGGTGGTGAGAATTCCAAGACAAGTGAAGTGGCCCATGCACCCGACTGAATCGTTCTATACTACTAGCTAAATGTTTGCACAGAACAAGTGAGGAGTAATATTTTGAACTTAGAAAACGTATCAAAACATCCTTGAACTACTACTCGAGGTCACTAGAAGATTCCGATTTAAGTCAAGGTCTTCACCAAACATAACTGTGTCACCCCATAGTGCTAGGTCGATAAGCGAGTACTATAGTACGATATCAACCACCCGAAAAGTTAGATGAAGAAATTGTGACATTTAGGAGGACATCTATGATGGAATCGAATAAGAAAGGAAATGGTGGACAAGCTCGACGAACAATACATGAAGTTGATAATTCCGATTTAAGCTCCCTATAACCTTGGACTAGAGTAATACAGTTTGATTACAGAAGCTTCCCAGGATATATGTTTATCTTTGCCACACCTAGTGACAAACGATGTTATTGGTGCAGTGGCACAAATGGATTTATTCTGCATCTCGCGGTTAAATCAAATATGACGAACGACTTTAAAGATATTGGTAAGTAAACATAACAAACTTTATTTAGTTGCTTTTTAATGGTCATGCTCGATTTATACGATGAAGTAAACAATAGTGACATACTTGACGAATCAAAATAATGACTAGGCAGCTGACAGATAAGCACCGTTGAAGTAATACTTAGTCTAAAATGATAGAGTACACAGCATCCTGCAGAAGATAGAATGAGTGTGTTTAATTTATTGATATCCCCTCCGAACTAATATTGCCAAAAGTCTCATTATTTATCCAAGGTATATTAAACAGAGCAACTTGGAAACTTACAACTTATTATCCATCTTGGATCAAAGATCGACAACTCTATGCACTGAAGTTATTGTTTTAGTAAATCACCATCGCAAGTTTTCGAACATCACATATCCAACTACCCAATGACTTTTCATACATGACACATAGCTCAAACAAACTCACAACATCGTAAGCTGAGTAAAAGTCAAGTCATGCCAACGTCCATGGTCTCATTAACTTAAGAAATGTTATCAACTTTTAGTAAACATTGTCTGACAACTGTTAAGTTTCAGAGGCCTAATAATACGAACAATACTCGTCTCTTAACAGCATTCTAACATATTAGGGGAATCGAGAAATACCATTTGTCATTTATGCATACATAACTACATTGTGGAGCTAGTTGTCAGTCCATATCTCTTCTGGGGCACCGCTGCATCTAACAATCGACAAACAAACCCAACATTTTATTTTTGTCTTTTATTCTTTATTTGAACACAGAAATATTGGTACAAAGGGGCACCGAATACATATACGCCACACAAGTCACTTGATT